CCTACAAAGTCAACATGGTCTTCCCCCCCAGCTCAGCCTCCACGTCCAAAGCGGATGCACAAACCCAGCATGGCCGAGGCCGAGGTCGCGGCAGCAGAGGGCCGAGAGGAGGAGGTCGAGGCTCAAGTAGAGGTAGAGGAGGCTGGTCAGGCCAGACTGACAAAGACATGGTTTGCCACGTGTGCAACAGGAAGGGCCACAGGGCCGCTAACTGCTGGCACAACAAAGGCAGGACCCCCATAGAAGACATAGTCTGCCACACCTGTGGCAGAAAGGGTCATATCCCGCGGAACTGCCGGAGTGGAGCTGGCAGCAGCAAGGCAAGCTCAGGCTTCGCCATGCCCAATGTACCACCTGACCTCTACAAGGCCACCATGCAGTGGTTTTTGAGCCAGCAAAACGACCAGCAACCCTCTACCAGCAAGGGCAAGAGTCCTTATGTCCCCAAGGACAAAGATAAGGACCAGGAAAACTAGAAACAACTTCTGTTGAAACGGTGGGAACGGAAGTTGAGGAAAAGACTGAAAAAGTTTATGTAAAACCACCGGTGACCAAAACTCCAGATTTTGTTAATTTAACAGAGCTTTCTGACTCTGAGAGTGAGCTTGATGGTCACCGGGAGGTTCCTTGTAATGTGTGTAATACTAGCAGTGTTAATTCAGCACCAATGATAAAATGTACAATTTTGAATAAAGTACAAAAAGTTTGTCTAGATACTGCAGCTGTTATTACAGTAATCCCTAGAACAAGAGACCTCCCAGTAGCAAAGCTCAAACTGAAAGGTGTAACGTCACACAAAGCAAGCCTTTATGGACCAGCAATGACCACGTTCGAGATTGAAGTACAGAAATTCGAACACATGACCTATGAGGCAGACATCAAGGAACACATCATTGGCATTGATTTCCTGCACAAGTTGCAGTGATTAAAATTAAGATGCAAGTTGCAGAGATTGGAGAGGGACACAACAGGATAACAATTCCATTCACTCTAGAGGAGTCGAAATTTGCAAAGCTATACACTACAGGCAGAGTTGTCTACCGTATAAGAGCGGAGAGCAACTTTACATTGAAACCATTTGCGGAGAAAGAAATTAAAACACAAATAAGAGCGGATTCGATAACTGATGAGTCGGTTAGGGGAAGAACTGACGACTGTCCAGGTAGTGGTCAGACTCAGGATTATAGCCGAGGTGAAAGGAGCCATTCCCAGAGCAGGGTGGTTCTAGAAACCAAGGTGGTTAATCAAGAAGTGCTGACAGACTCTGGAAGTAGCAGGGCTCAAGAAGCCAAGGGTACCCAAAATAAAAAGAGAAACCAGTTATCAGGAGAGACTAAGTTAGGAGTATTTGTTTCGAATCAAGCATTCGGAAACAAGGTTTCAAAGCTACCAACAGGGGTAGTAGTACAATCAGGAATTGTCCCGTGTGTCTCAGCACCAATCACTGTGACCATACAAAACTTTGGGGATAAATGCGTCAACATACCCAAGTATGCAGTGCTAGGGGAAGTATTTATATTACACCCAGAGGAATACGAAAAAGAATTTATTGGAATCTCAGAAGAAGAAGAGGAGGGGGAGGAGATTGATGGACAGGAGGATACAGAGGATGCAGTACAGGTAAATGTGGTACACCATGAAACAACTCCGTTCATGGATGCAGAATATAACACAACACCAAGTATGCCAGAGATTAAGGAGAGTGAACCACTCCGTAAAGATCTCCAGGCATTGGTAGACAAATGCACCGAACTGTCTGAAACAGAAAGACAAGAGTTAGCTAAATTGTTAAGAAAACACCATGACATCTTTGCCAAGGATAACACTACTTTTGGTAAATGTCCCTGGACAAAATTTCGAATAGACACAGGTGACCATCCACCCATCAAGCAGACAGCAAGGCCCATACCCATACACTATAGGCAGTCTGTAATGGAGATCATTAAAAAGTATTTAGAACAAGGGGCCATCATACCCAGTCAATCAGCCTGGGCTTCTCCAATTCTTTGTGTCATGAAAAAGACTGGAGAGGTAAGGGTTTGTATTGATTACAGGGCATTGAATGCAGTTACCAGGGTCCTAGCCACGCCTATACCAAGGGTACAGGACTTGTTGCATCTTATGGGAGGCAAAAAGATGTATCATGCTTTTGATTTAGCCCATGGATACCACAACCTTGAAATACGTCCAGAGGATCAACCCAAGACGGCTATAATATTACCGGAAGGTCTGGGACTTGCACATAGGCAGTTTGAGTTTACCAGGCTAAGCTTCGGGCTGGCTGCAGCACCAGGTGCCTTCCAGTATATTACTGACCGAATCATAACTCCAGCCCTCGAGAAAAACCCTCAAAATGATCTAGGAGACACAGTGTCAGTTTACCTTGATGATATCTGCATAGGTGGGGATAATTTCCCAGAAATGTTACAAAGACTAGAAGCTCTATTCAACAGGATCAGAGCAGCAGGTTTCTCGCTTAAAGCAAAGAAATGTGAGCTATTCCAACCAGAAGTATCCTATCTGGGGCACAGGTTGTCTGAAAAAGGAATAAAAACGGATCAAAATAAAATAGAGAAAATAATGAGTTGGCCAGTACCAACTAATGTCAAAGAGGTAAGATCATGGCTAGGATTAGTACAGTATTACTCCAAGTATGTCCCACACATGGCATCTATAGCTAATCCAATATTTAAGTTGCAAAAGAAAGGGCAAGAATTTGAGTGGACCCAGGAGTGTCAGGAGGCATTTGATAAAATTAAGACACTTCTGACAACAGCACCTATATTAGGTACCCCAGATGTGACTCAAGGTGAATTTACTATCACCACGGATGCTAGTTTGTTTGGCCTTGGTTGTGTCCTAAGCCAACAACAGCATGGGAAAGAAGTCACAATAGCCTATTGGTCCAAAACTTTAAACCCTGCCCAGAGAAATTACTGCGCAACACACAGGGAGCTACTTGCACTAGTAGAATCAATAAAAGCATTCCATCATTACCTGGCAGGTGCGCCATTTGTAGTTAAGACTTACCACGCAGCATTTCAGTGGCTAAAGAATTTCAAGAATCCTACAGGTAAGCTTGCACGTTGGCTTGAGAGATTAGCTCCATACAAATTCCAGGTGGTGCATGTGAAAGGCACAAGCATAGGGCATGCAGATGCTTTATCCAGGAGGCCATGTGATGACTGCAAGAAATGTGACAGACTGGAGGAGAGAGACAAAACAGTATTAGTTTGTCAGTGTCAAGTAGAAATAAAATGTGACGATAACTGCCCAACATGTCTGTTAGGTGAAAGAAAACAAATCAGACTCACCTCAGACACAGTAAAAGTCCACTGGACGAAAGTAATTCCTAATGGACTTAGTGATAAGGAAATTAGAAAGGCCCAACTACTAGACCTAGATATAATGCCTATCATGGTTGCTGTGCAGGATGGAGAGAGACCTGAGTTCCAGGAAATTGCTGGCAACAGTAGTAAAACTAGGTCTCTGTGGTATCAGTTTAATTCTCTGGTTATAGAGAATGGACTCTTATTCAGAAGGTTTGAACATCCTAGTGGATTAAAAGAAAAAGAGGAATTACAACTGATACTGCCATCCAAACTGGTAAAACAAACGGTTAAAGCTTACCATGATCAGCTGGGAGTAGGCAATCATTTTGGGGTGTCCAAAACATTAGCATTCCTTAAAAGATTCTTCTGGTGGCCAGGGATTTTCGAAGATACATATGAGGTTGTTTCTCAGTGCAGAATATGCGCAAAATTCAAAGGTCCAGCTCACATGACCAAGGATCCGCTAAAGTTGTTCCAAGAGGGAGTCTTGCAGGGCAGATGGCATGTGGATATTTGTGGTCCTATAAATCCTAAAAGCAAAGAGGGACATGAGTACATTTTAGTTGCAGTGGAAGCTTTCTCTGGATGGCCAGTAGTAGTACCACTGTTTAAACAGACAGCAGACGAGATAGCACAAGCTCTAATTACCCATGTCTTCTCTATCTTTGGAGCACCACAATCAGTAATGACGGACCAAGGTAGAGCTTTTGACTCCATACTGTCCCAAGAAATAATGGAGCTTTACAACATCAAAAAGATAAGGACTTCTGCGTTCCATCCAGCTGCAAATGGCAAAGCAGAACGGTGGATTAAAACACTGAAACAACATCTCATGATTCTGGTAGAAAAAGACAGGCAAGACTGGCCTAAGTATTTACCATTCATTACTCAGGCATACAGAAACTTGCCTCACTCATCACACAAGTTCTCACCTTACGAGGTTATGTTTGGAGCTGCCATGAGGACACCACTGGCTATGGACAGGGGCCCTCCACCAAAAGAGGAACCCATGAACAAACTCTACCCAAATTGGGTTAGAAAAACAATGCAGGATATCCACGGAGTAGTTGCACATATGAGCAGAAAGGCTGCAAACAGAATGAAAGCTTACTATGACAGAAATGCAACACTTTCACCATTCAAAGCAGGGGACAAAGTCTACTTGTATTACCCCAGAAAAATTAAAGGCATCTCAGCTAAGTTAATTTCCAGATGGGAGGGGCCTTACGTGGTCACGAACATAATAAATGACTGCAATGCGAGAATAGAGAGGGCAGACAACCCCGATAAAAAGCTGATAGTTCACATAGACAGGCTAGCAAGATGTCCAGACGAAGCCGACGACAGCAACAACAACATCGCTAGCGCTTGGTTGTTGTTTGCAGTATGAGCGCAACCATCTTAGCACTCGAAACTCGAACTCGATCGTCGAGCGGCGCGAGAAATTCAAATCGGAACCGGTCGCTAGGGTACCGGGTACCAACCGGTTGCTAGGCAATCGGGTAGGTCGCTAGGCAACGAGTAGGCTTAACGAAAACAAAAGAAAGCTACTGACGCTATCTTAAGCCTAACGGTATTCCCCTCAGTTCTGAGAAGCAGCGACGGACGCCGACCAGAGTTATACAGAATCCGTGTAAATCGCTGCAGTGCAAGTTCTAAAAACGTAAAATGGAAGAAATACTAGATCAGAAGAGAACTTTTAGAGACTTAAAAGTGATTGTACCAAAAAGAAGTGACGAAAGAAAAATCCTGGAGGCAAGAGGCCCAGCCAAGGGACTACCCAAGACGGAAAAAGTGGATCAATCCAAACTAGATAAAATCCTGGAGAGAGTCAAAAGATCCATCGAACAGGATAAGGAAGTTTCAGAAGCCAAAAAGGCAAAATTAATGACGCCGGAGGTCGACCCAAACCTCAAGAGGAAGGCAAAGGCATCGGCTTTGAGAAAAGCTGCAGCCAGGATGACTCAGAAGGTAAGCAAAAGTGCCCAAGTGAGAGTCTTAAAAAGAAAAGGGAAAGGAAAGATACCAAAAATTGGTAAATCTGTTACAGAATTTGCAAAGAAAAATGCCCCAGGAAATTGTGGCCTTCCCTATGGGTCAGGCAGGCCCATCCAACCAGGAGTCATTCCCTGAAACATGTGTATTCACCAAGCACATTCAAAAAATGGTAGAAGTAAAAGGAAACCTGGCCTTCCCTAGGGAAGAGCCAGGTTCCCTAGTGTGTTTCCCCATCACATGCAGAAAAATGGTGGAAGACCCCAAGCCTATTCTGGAGGAGGACTGGTTCGCACACCACCCCATGACAGCTGCAGACTACATGAATCTGCCCAGCACCTCCAAGATCAGGCAGAAACATGAGAAAGATCTGGACTTTCTACCACCTAGTCTGAGGCAACACCATGCATGCAGCCCAAAATTTCATGCAACCTCTAGTGACAAGAGAATTCCTGTCAAGTGACAGTGACACAGAAAGTGAGAATGAAACAGCGGAGAAGAAAGAAGAAAGTGCAACAGCAAAGAAACTGATAGAAGAAATGAAACTGACAGACTCAGAGTCAGAAACTGAAGAAAAGATACAAGAGAAAAGTGAGATGGACACAGAGGTCGAGATGTTGGAGGCGGAAATAAATAAAATAGATGTAGACATGAAGACACCAGAAGAAGTAGACATGGAACTAGAGGAAATGGATAATGCGATGAGAAAAGAAGAGGAAGCAATTAAAGAACTGGAGAGGAAAATAGAGGAGAAACGTGCAGAAAAAGAAATGATTTGTGGAGGACTAAAGCTCGACATGCAATGGAAACTAGTGCCACTCACCTTGAACATCGAACCAAGTGGAAGACAGGAATGGATGGATCAAATTTATAAAGAACGAGATGAAGTCAAGAATACCTTAAAATGGCATCCAAATGATCCACGGAAGGATGCAAGATGCCGGAAGTGCAGACAGCGATATCACACTGCTAAAGATTGCCCAAAATAAGGTTTTCAGTTATCTCGTCTAACTAATATTTTAAAACTCTTAGTTAAATCATCCAACTTCTGGGAAACACTGTATTTCAAGTGCCAAACTAAAGTTGTGATCTATCCATAAATCATTCCTGTTCTAAGTGTGATAGAATTGTTCTGTGTTGTTAAAGTGCAAACATTAAATGTGTTCACTGTTTAAGTGCCAAGTTAATTGTTCTTTAAGTTGTAAATCATTCTCAAGTGCAATCAAATCGTTCCTTTACTGGTGATAAAGTCTGTTGTTGTGCCAAAGCAAGATGATGTACTATGTTAAGTGTTCATGCTCAAAGTTTACAATAAACCAATGAAAAAGAAAAAGGAGTTTCAATCCAAACACCAAATCATGTACATAAATTTCTTACCCTATGAACAAATGGTAACAGTCAATAGAATAAATGCAAGAACGATATGAGCCTGCAAATCCATAAAGGGGCGTTACAATAGAACAAGATAAATTGAGAACGAATGCAAGAACAAGATAAGCCCGCAAATCCATGAAGGGGCGTTACAAAAGAATAGGCAATTCAGACAAAAACAATAGTAGCCCGCAATCCATGATGGGGCATTACAGAAAGAAATCAGTAAATAAATGGGGACATTCAATGAAAAGTAGTCCAGTTGAGGACGAAGAATGAAAACACAAAGTCACCCATAAGAGGAAGGAAGAGTTAGATTAATGGTAACAATAAATAAAGATAAAATAAAGTCTAATATCACATCCTGAAAAGAAAACCGGAAATTAAGGGGGCAGACCTGTGAAACGCAAGGGTTTGGGAAAATAGTCACTACAAGAAAACGAAGAATCGTAGCGCTTTCAGCGAAAGATATTTAGAAAGAGCAAGGATTAAGCTACGTTTTGATGTATACAGCGTCTGCTTGCTTCTCCGGGAACATGCCCTTCTTTGTCTCGAAGTGGAGGGTTACGGGCCTTTACCGTGTGCAGGATTGCGCGACAACGGATGGACCTACAGCAACGATAAAAATACTCATTTACTCTTAAAAGATGTAGCTTTCGTTTGACGAGAGCGATTTTGAAATTTTTTATTTTTAAGTGTGTGAAAAAAATTCTTAAAGTTTGGGTACCTAAAATTTTGGTAAAAATTGGGTACTTTATCCCCTATTTCGGTACTTTAGAAATGTGATATTAAAAATCGCTCTCGTCAAACGAAAGGTACATATCTAGGCTACAACCAGGCGAAGGGGCTAGGCTGTAGCTCAAAAACTGTGGCCTGGAGGCTGCACACGGTAATGCAAAACAGAAGTGGGAGAAAAACGCGTTTAAAGTTTTCAGTACCGATGCGCAACGACGAACCAAAAGCCGGGGCAACTTTCTGTACTGGTTCTAAAAGATTCCGGGGCTCTAGAAGATTCCTTCCTTGTCGTGTGTCCTGTCCTGAGCGGCTAGGCAAGCCCTATAGGGCCGCTATAGCGGTCCAGCCAGCCGGCCGCCCACAGCACGTTTTGGGCTCTCCTGAGAGCAATTTTTCGAATTTCGACATCCGCTTTTCGGCATTAGAAAGAGGAAAGACCAAAGAATTTTTTCAAGCAATAAAAAAAAAGTGAATTTTTAAATGATTTTCACAGGTCTGCCCCCTTAAAACCCAAGTTTGGAAAGCAAACAACCAGAAATTAGAGGCATAACAGAAGGAAACTAGCCTCACTCCTCACGAGCACCAGCGCCATCCTCGATCGGGGCGGCGGAGAACCGCATAATCTCAGTCTGCAAGAGAACAACAAACATTGAAAACGACAACAAACAACAAAAATATCAACAACAAAGAGGCGGGGAACAAGTGAACGCACAAAGAGCCAGCCTAAACACCGCGCACAGATGTAGCCACTGTGAGGACCACATAGATGGTCCAAGCTGAACTTAAGCCTTTTATAGCAAAAACCTCCAGTCAGCACAAAGTCAGGTGTGGCATAAGGGGCACAAGGCCCGCACAAAACGACATCCTCGCCATATTCAAGGGCGCAATGATAATGAACGAAAACTACGACAGACATGATCGAGGCGGGCGGGAACACAAAAAACCGTTACGGCACTTACCGATCAGGACGACGTCGTCGCCCTCCTCGTCCGAAACGAGGTCCACAAGATCAGGAGCCGGGGCAGGAAAGACAGGAGCTAGGAAGTCATCAAAAACCTCGTCCAAATCCTCCAGAATGGCGTTGAAGTCAAGAGGAGCGAGGATTTCCAGATCCAAGCCATCAAAGAAGACGCCGGGTGGGGGCACTTGGGGCACCGGGTGCCCGTGGAAAACTGGCGCAGCCCCATTGAGTGGAGGCAAGCCACACTCCAGGATGATCTAACAGATAATAATAAAAAAAAAATTAGGACGAAAGACACAACAGAAGGGACAGGGCACAAAAGGGAGCAACCAAACTTACGAAGCAGCGGGAGAGGCAGCAGCCACACTCTAAGAATTGAGCATCACGGAGCAGATAGTTTTCTATGACCAAATCGTACTGGACAAAGGAGGGGTCGACAACGTCCCAATGGGGACTTTGGACCGTGGCCTGGATGCACTGGACGCAAATCTAGAATGAAGGCACACAATGAAGTAGCGTCCTCACGAAGCCCGCGAACCGGCTTAAGATTGAGGAAAGAAATAAGGCAATACTTACTCGATATCTCATCAAATTTTGGAGCTGGTACCCCACGAAATGTTGCACGAGAATTCTAGTAGGCATGGTAGCTACATACTTTGAACGGGAAAAACCGGTAAAACGAGCAAAGAAAGGGAGGAGCGACGGGAGCGAAGCAGTGACGCTTAAACGAGACCGTACCAAGATGGCGACTGACCGTTGGTGGGGTTGCCGCCAAAACGAAGCGTCCCCCACGGAAGGAGGGGAAAAG